CTCTCCCCTCGTTCTCTCATCTCTTTCCCTCCCCTACAAAGCACAAAACAACCTCTCGTTCTTTACCTCTCTTAGTCTCTTTCTTTTTAATTTCAATTTCTCCCAAGTAACTGCTCTCTCTTGCACCTCCACAGCTGTATGTGACTGCCCTACTTTCTCAAGTCAATTTTTTGCTTGATTAGGTTAGTATGAATGCTTTATAATTTTGCAATTTTTAAATGTCATGCTGAATTTTATCCTTCGACTCCGATTTCAAAGGTTTAGAAATAGCCTAATAATTTGACTATGGAGAGGTTGATTGAAAAGAAAAGTATTATAAGTTGTAAGTTTTTTCTAAAAGAGAAAACATGTGATAGCCTACTAATTTTGACAATGAGAAATTGCCTAGTGATCTTTCAATAATATATTCTTTAAAATCTAATAAGGTTCATCGTAGCTCCAGCAGTTACCTAGCCTATTTCAGCTACTCCTGCAGATGCTACTTGCAATAAATCTAACAAAAAAATAAAATATTGCCTCTAGAACTATATCTGAAGTTTGGCAGCACTTCGATTTTAAATCCATGGCTTAGATTTTTGTTAACTGAATTGGGTTTTTTTCATTTCTTATCAGGTGGATGACAAACTATACACATATACTTGGAGTATGTGTCTGGTGCCTCCATCTAAAAACTACTTCAAGAATGTGACCAATTTGGTGAAATAGCCATTCGTAGCTATACTCAACAAATCTTGTGTGGGCTTGCTTATTTGCATGCTAAAAATATTGTCCACGGGTGAACCTTATTGTTTTGCTATCTCATGGTTTTGATATGGAACCACAACTTACTCTAATCACTTATAAAAATCATCATGCTTATGTCATAAATTTTAATGATAATTTATAGGGGTGTTCATGGACATAATCGGTCGAGTTTTGTCCATAAATATCACCAATCCAACTTCTTTTATATATATGTTACAAAGTTTCAACCCGATCCATTCAAAGATTTTTTTTGATAATTTGCAAGGGTACTCATCTACAAAAGCAAGTGTCGACTTCAAATTTTCTATTGTGCTCTTCCAATTTAGAGAAAAAATAGTAGCAAAAACTAGGCATGACTGACCATCTAGAGCACAAATGTTTATGATCAATTTCTTTTCTCGGGAAAAGTCAATCAATGCTAGATGAAATTGGCCCAACCAGAGAGAAGAGTGGGGTGGGGGGTGGCGAAGGGAAGAAAATATCAACTAGATAATGTTAGGTTTAATGACCCAATCATCTGGGGGGAAGAAAAAAAGAGAATGGAAAGGAAAGCCTAATCAGATAGGAAAGAAGAGAAAATAAAGGAAGAGAAGGATAAAGGAAGGAAATAGGAAGAAAGGGTCAAAACCCAATCGCCCAGCAATTGCCTAACCAGACAACTTATTAGGATGAATGGCCTAACCAGAAAAGGAAGAAAGAAAACAAGAACAGAGAAAAAAGAGAAAAAAAAAAAGAAGATGTCAGACCTTGATTGAGACTCTGATAGTAATAGCCACTAAGTAGGAGGAATCATCTTCACGGGATGAAGCTAATGACACCAGAAAAAGATCACTGTTAGACGTTGGATTTAGTCATACGTACTGCCATAAAACAACAAGCAGTATGCACACAATTGCGCTTGAATGATACCTATCGGACATATATTTCTCCTTATGTTGTTTCAAACCTTATTTTACACCATATTCCAATTCCGTCCCTGGAAAAGTTTAACCAAGCCTAGTAAGGGTCTAACAGAGGAAGAAAGAAAAGAAAGAAAAAGAAATATGAGAAAAAGAAAAAGGCCTAACCACGCCCAATAACGCCAAGAAAGCCTATATGCTCGTTGTTTACCTCTGAAACGATGTCTCTCCATTTAACATACATGGCATGCTAAATAGGGTTTAGTCGCATATAATCACCAAACAGATTTTTCATCTTACAATTTAATAATATAATGCCCATATGAATTCTCCAATTTATATGTTGTTAGCATGATAGCCACCGAATACTTTACAAGTTATTAGTGTAACACCTATCTAAAATCCTTATCTCACAAGTTAATAGGATGAGATCCTACATTAAACAAATTGCTCTAACAGGCTAATTTCGTAGTTATTCATGGTAAAGCATATATTCTCCATAATTATCCTTATAAGTAGGTTTGAGACTCTACACGTATATCATAAACACATGTGATCTAAGATATTTAAATATCTAAGGATACCAAGTAAAGGGGCCAATGAACCACATATTATAACATCCATCTCTTACCAACTCTCTAGCATTTTACATTTTTCTCTGTATTTTTCAAACTTAAATATCATAAGGTCTTCTTTTTCATGAAGAGAGCTGGTTTTGCAAGAGCCCAACTTCAATATATATATATATAAAGATTGATAAAACAATTCCAAGAAATTACCATGATTAAAATTGATAAATTTAATATTCTACATAAATCGTTTGACCATTTGATGATAACAAATGAACCGGTCAATCGCTTGTTCAAATGTGATGAACATCTAGGAATTTACAAAAATCATTCGATCAATTGGCTTGACTACTTTAAACTAGCGACCATTTTAGCTGTTAGAGAAATAATAATGAATATAAACAACTAGTTTTTACTATAAACACACACACACACACACACATATATATCACTTAATAGAAATTAGAATATATGAAAGTGTTTATATGTAATGAGTGTGATAATTTTTACTCTTGTGCAAGAATATAAAGGTTTTAATACACAAATATGATTATGATTTAAGATTGATAATTTGAAGTTGTTTTGCACTAAAAATAGCTTGTATATGATAAGCTTCAATTGTAGTATCTACTCTTTAAGAAAGTGTTGCTATATTTCAAACAAGTATAATTCTTAAAGAGTTTAAGTGAAAAAATTTTAGTTATTGGTAAAGTATATCACTGATTAGTACTTAAAAGTGCATTTTTATCATGGTTTTATATCATCATTTTGCACTTGAAGTATCAATAACTCCTTAACTAAAATATGTTTTATAAGAATGTATCTAATAATATAAGATACCTATAATTTGTGGTAAATGTCTATTTTTAATGCAGGCCTATCACATAAATGAAAGGATTGATTGATGACTTGGAGAACTTAAATTGCAAGGATAAAGAGATGGCCAAACTTAGAAAAGAGATATCAGTGCAATTCAAACCGGAACACTATTCGGTAATTAGGTCATATCTAGAGCTATATATCTCAAATTTGGGTCCAATTTATATGGATGGAAAGGTAAGACATAGGCCTACAACTTTCATATGGAGCCCAAGATCTAAAAAGGCCATTATCAAGTCCAAATTGTAGCAACAACAAAGAAGCCCGAATCTGTCTTCCAGCCCGAGCACTGTTCGGTATTTTGGCCATATCTGGAGTTCTAGAAGTCCAAATGAGCTGAATTGTTTACACAAGAAAGCTGAGACAATTGCCTACAACTTTCATGTTTACAACTGGCTCCACGTTTGACGTTAGCAATGACGTTTTGGGCAGACAAGAGAAGATAAGGATTGTCACCAAGTCAAAAGTTGGCCACCTACTTATCAATTAGTCATCAAATCAATAGTTCCCAATTTTGGCCTATAAAAGGAGGCATTTGCCATGCATTTAGGCATCTTGGTTTCCAGATCAAGATCATGCTCTTCCTTTCTCTCTTTGTATTTTTTGTAATGTTTATGCTTTGCTTTCATTAATATTAAGTCTATGCCTTTCATTTCATTTCCTTTACTTAGTTAACTTTTATGTTCTTATTTTGTTTATCTATTTTGCTTTCTTTTATTATGTCTAGTTAAGTTAATTATGTCAAGGTGAAAAGGTTACACTAATGGTGTAAGAATAAGTATAGTGTAAACTTAATACGGACTTTAATGTTTGATACTAACATGTTTTGTATTTGTTATCTTGTTCATTCTTTAATACTTTGCTTGTTAAATGACTAATCTTGATTTATGTTGTATAACACTTGGTACAACAAATGCTTGGCACTTTCATAGCCCATAATGTATGGTATAACCGACACCTGAGCTATGAAAGGAACTTGATTTGTTGTTAACATAAGTTATAATCATGAATGCTTGACGAGATTTACAAGTATTAGCATTAATCGAATAAGCTGACTAATGTAATCATGTTAACAATATATAATCTGATTGGAACCTCCTTTGTGTGTGGTTTCCAATTCAATAATAAGAGTTTATACTATACTTGTTTGATATACCATTAATGGAACCTCTAACCTTGACATTTGTTATTATTATTGTTTAATCCTTACATTAATTTTTCATCTCCAAGTTTTCATCATCTTCTTCTTCTTCTCTTTCTTTATTATTATTATTATTATTACTACTACTACTACTACTACTACTATTATTATTATTATTATTATTATTAGTAGTAGTAGTATTAGTATTATTAGTATTATTATTATTATTATTATTATTATTATTATTATTGTTGTTGTTGTTGTTGTTGTTGTTGTTGTTGTTATTGTTATTGTTATTGTTGTTGTATTATTGTTATTTATAATTTATACAAATAACCTCTCTGTGGTTCGACCCCGGTCTTGCCGGGTAATTTATTACTTCGACACTCCTGCACTTGGGAGAAGACATCAATCTTTTAGTCGTGTCAAGTTTTTGGCGCCGTTGCCGGGGAGGCAAGTTCTTGTATAAATTATAATATTTATTTTATTTTCTCTTTTCACTTTTCTTGTATATAACTTTGTTTCTTTTCTTTTGTTTCTTTTTATTTTGTTTTCTTCCTCCTTCTTCTTTTATTTTCTTCTTCCTTTTATTTTATTCCTACACGTGCATGAGAGTGTGGTCACGTACATCAAGTGGTAGACTTTGTAGGGTATCCTCATCATTTTCAGAAAATATGGCTGAAGAAGATAATCAATCACTTCATAATGAAAATAATGAGAATAACCGTGCTAGAACACTTAGAGACCACATGAATCCCACAAGAACAAGTGCACCATCATGCATAGTTTTTCCTCCTGATGCATCTCATTTTAATCTTTTTCCTCCCGATGCATCTCATTTGAATTTTAAACCAGGTATTATTCAACTTTTACCTTCTTTTCATGGTTTAGAATTGGAAAATCCATACTTGCATTTAAGAGAATTTGAAGAGGTCTGCAACACATATAATAATTTAAATTGTAGCATGAACACCATCAGATTAAAGCTTTTTCCTTTTTCATTAAAAGATAAAGCTAAAACATGGCTACAAAATTTAAGACCAGGATCCATTCGTGCTTGGGATGAAATGCAATAACAATTTTTAAAGAAGTTTTTCCCATCTCATAGAACAAACTCTTTCAAGAGACAAATCACCACTTTCACTCAAAAACCAGGAGAAACATTTTACCAATGTTGGGATAGGTATCGAGACTTGCTTAGTACTTGCCCTCATCATGGTTTTGAAACATGGAGATTGGTTTCACATTTCTATGAAGGGTTAACACCTAAAGATAGGCAAATGGTTGAATTGATGTGCAATGGAACTTTTGAAGATAAAGAACCTGATAAAGCAATGGAGTACTTAGACTTGTTAGCTAAAAATGCTCAAAATTGGGACATTGCGGGTACTTATGAGGCACCGAGTAAAACTCAACCTCACACATCTAGTGGAGGCATGTACAACCTTAGGGAAGATTATGACCTTCAAGCCAAGTTTGCATCTTTAGCTAGAAAAGTCGAGGCACTAGAATTGAAAAAGAGTGGTCAATTAAAATATGTTGAAAACATTGTGTGTCAAATCTGTGAAACAAATGAACACTCAACCAACGATTGTCCAACCTTGCCTTCTTTTAAGGAATGTCTCCATGAACAAGGCCATGCTTTAAACAGTTTTCAAAGGCCCAACCACAACCCATACTCACAAACATACAACCCTGGTTGGAGAAATCACCCAAATTTTAGTTGGAAGAGTGAGAACAACAATGCACAAACTTCACAACCACCATTTCAAGCACACCACAATTTCCAAAATTCTCATGGATATGCACCTCCTTATGCTCCACCTCCTAGAAGAAATCTTAAGGAAACATTGCATGCATTCATTGAAAAGCAAGAGACAATCAATACTCAACTTGCTCAAAACATGACAGATTTTAAAGATACTCTTGCAAAATTAACATCTGCTCTCAGTTTCCAAGAGAAAGGTAAGTTTCCATTTCAACCACAACAAAATCCCAAGGGGCAATACAATGCAAATGCAAGTAGTTCCGGAAGCCAACACATGGATCAAGTCAAATCAGTCACTACTCTGCGCAGTGGTAAGGTTATTGAAAAACCCTCTCTTGAACCTTATGAGAAAGATGATGAGTCAATCTCTGAGGGTAAGGAAGGGGTTGAATCTGAAAATTGCAAAGAAACAACTGATTCACCGCCAGCACTTCCATTTCCTCAAGCCATGACCAAACAAAGGAAAGTCAATCACAA